TTGACTGGACATTTAATACTTTTTTTTCCTTTTCTTTTCTTCTTCTTTACGGCAGATTAACAAACCGATAAATCTTCTTTCCTCACCAAGAAAATATATCATTAGATGAAAGAAACTAAAATAGATTACAACCAAACATTTAAATGCTGACTCTGCAACGGCGTTTTTGTTTTTTTCTCTCTTTCAAAAAAGTGTCATAGTCGCCTTATTCAGTTATTCACTATGCCCCTTCAGGACGTAGGAGAACATGGCTCTCCACAATTGCCTGTCATTTGTAGCTCTTAATAAATATTTTCTTTTTGTTATCTCTCCTAAAACTTGTTCTGCCATCCATTTAAGTATGCTCTCTAAATTGGCTGTACGTCCCTCTTGCCTTCAAACTGTCCTGTGAATATCAAATTTTCCAAGCCTTCTTTCCTCATTATGCGTCCTGTCTCTTTCTGATGTTAAATACAAATGTCCTTCTTGTTGCCATTGTCTATAGAACTTCATCGTTGCTTACATGTTCGGTCTATGGTATTCTCAGCATCCATTTGTAGAACCAGCATTTTTATTGCTTCAAGTCCACGAGTGTCCAGCATTCCCTGCCATGCCATAGCATAATCCATTTTATGGGCTGTGACCTTGTGCCTGCCTATGCTATATTTAAGCAAAATATCATGTCATCTTGTGTAGCTAAAGTAGTTATATATATATATATATATATATATATATATATATATATATATATATATATATGTTTCACCCCAAGCAAGGCAGGAACTCACTAGCACGAAAGGGTTTATACAGAGTAGGAGCTAGAGCAAAGAGGAGTGATAGAGGAAAGGATGCAGAGAAGGATAGGGGATAGATCAGGGCATCTGGAGACGTCGATTGACATTACATTTGAATAGTTGGAGATTATAGCTATCTGGGAAACAGGAAAAGGGGAGGGATTTCCACAGGCGATAGGTGCGAGACATGAAGCTATTGGTGTAGAAGAGACGGCTACATTTAACAGTTTCGACAGTAAAAGGGTGAGAGCGAAATGCCAGCGTAGTTGAACGCTTATTAAGTGTTCAACTAGGCTGGCATCTCGCTCTCATGATGTCTGGGAACCAGCGAAAGCAGCTCATCGGAGCAGTTACCGTGAAAGTATTTGTAAAAAGACAGAGGCAGGCGACGGCAATGTTACTGTTGTAACCTAAATATTAGGAAAAACAAAATATAACAAAACACAGTTAAATATATTTTAAAATTTTAATTTTATTTTTAAGACAACAGTATTCGTTTTTATTTTCACTGGCCAGGATACAGAAGAATTGGGTTGGATAAACAATTCATTGTCTACAGTTGGTGTGTATTGTCCAGCAGCCATTTTGTCTTATACTACCCTTTTTCAGTGAAGAGTCAATGATTTTTTAGGGGAAGAGTTGTCTCCCCAACACTTACATACTAATTCATTCCCATCGAGGTAGGCTGGGTGTCCCTCATTTGTGTCCGACAAAACTTACCTTATATCAATATAAGTTAGCTTACCGTAAGTAGTACTTGGTAAATTAGTATTACTCGTTGAGTACTCGAAACTTGATTATGCGTAGCTTGTTCCAGTATTTAGCAATTGAGTATCTATCCCGTTTTGTGTGGCCTTATGCCAGCAGTGCTAGAGTTCCCAGCGCTGCATAGGTACACAGCGTCGCTTCTTTTATTTTTTTTTTAAATCTCTATCTATAAAAGGCAGGATGTGTGTGTGTGTGTGTGTGTGTGTGTGTGTGTGTGTGTGTGTGTGTGTGTGTGTGTGACGAATGCACGGCCGTAATTTTCGACGGATTTGCACCAAAATTTACATCCACATGCTCCAAGTTAGTAGGAAGGCCAAGACCGACATTGCATTTCCCAACTCCCATCGATAGCGGAAATAATCGATTTTTTCATGCTTCTACAGTAGTTTTTATGTAGTTCGTGGCCGTTTTGTACTGGCCAGAATGAGAGCCAATAGCTGGCTGCCACGAATAGGCAGGAAGATTCTATTGGCCAGCGTGAGAGCCAACAGCTGATTGACACGAATGTTAACTAGCAAGCCAAAAAAATCGATAGCTGCATTCGTCATAAGTGGGAAAAGTTTAAATCTGCATGGCAATTTACTCCAATTGGCCCATTCGCTTGCTTAAACTCAACGTTGATTCTGATTCCGCAGAACTGGGTTGGGTATGAAAAAGTATTTTTTGTTAACATTCTTTTTTTATTCAGTTTTTCCAGTTACGAGTCCTTTTTTAAAGCTCATCATTTTGTGTTCATTTTGTTTAGTTCTTTTTTCGTAACAGATTTAATGTTTAGTATAGAGCTTAGAAAAAATTCGCAGCGTGAGATAGGCAAGAGGTAAGGCATGTAACAACATCAGCACGGCAAAGGGCACTCCTTTAAAGGCAAGGAAGGGCAAAAATATTTTAAGTCAAGTGATAGCGATTGCTGTATGAGTCATACGATTTTTGAATCAAGCAACGCCGGGCCATTCTGCTAGTAGAGAATAAATTCATAGCAACAAAGCCGCTTTGTATTATTATGAACGCACCTAATGGAAAACATATTCAAATAATCCATACCTTCACCTGAGAACAAGGACTCTCTGAGTGAAGTGAATACAAAGAAATAGAAAGAGGTGTGAAATAAAGATGTTTTCACACCCGATTTTTTAAACCTGAACAGCCAGATGATTCTAACAGAAATATAAAAAAAAACAAGATTTATTCTTTGCGAACGTAACCGTCACAAAATCTCACTTATGGGATTTCCGATAGCCGATTTCGACGAAAAAGTGAAAGAATCGTTAAAAAGATAGTCAATAAAAGTAAGAAGAACTTCATTATGAATTTAAAATAATTAATTAATTAATGAAAAATTAAAAAAAAAATAAGTAGATGTATGGCTGCCAGCAAAAGGTACAGTCGAATCTGAAATATCATCAATACTTGAAAAAAGTAAATTTAACGTACCCAATACAAGCGTATGTGGTAGGTCCAAATAAAACATGTACAGACATTTAACGACTTTCTTCTTTTATGCACCGTGTCCCTTCAAGGAGTTGGTGATCATGGCTCTCCGCAATTTCCTGATATTCGTAGTTCTTAATAACATTTATCTTTTTTTGCCATCTCTTTCAAACTCTGTTCCACATTCCACTCGCTCAAGTTCCTTAGATATGTTATGCTCTCCTCTGGATCTTGTACACTTTGTAAGTCCTGTGAGTATCATATTTCCAAACCGTCTTTCCTCATTATCTGCTCCGGAAATTTATCTTCCTGATGTTAATTAATTGGCTACATAATAAATAACATTTAAAATAATATTTATATCTATTTATGCTTGTTTGACTATGTTACGTGGTGGGAGGCGGTAGATCTGAAAAGCGTCAAGAACACCCCTACACGCTCCTTTTTGAAAGGAACATCGCTACATATAATAAAAGCTAAGATCTCGACACCGAAATAGAATTACAACTGTGTATGTATGCCCGAATGCATGGATGTGTAACTGTGCCTAGCCCCGGATTGCTTATATGGATGTGTTTGTATGAACTAAAATGCGTACACCTGTATGTATGTATGCATGTCTATGTGTATGAGAGTGTGATCACAAACACAGTAAATTTCCGCTCCCATCACTAAACATAATCAAACAAGCTTAAATAGATCCAATTTTAAAAAATAAAACAGTTTGTCAGATAATCGCAAAAGCGTGAAACTTCGGACCACAAACTCATATGCATACAATTGAATATATATATATATATATATATATATATATATATATATATATATATATATAAATATATATCCATTAAAATCCAGATAGATAGATAGATAGATAGATAGATAGATAGATAGATAGATAGATTTATTACATTCACTTACGTGCTAATACCCCTGGGAAAGTTATGAATCCTCTTCTTCTCCCTCCAGCTATGGGTAAATAGCAGGACAGACTGGGTTCTATAGCATTGGATGGTAACTGGTCTAGGAGAAGGACAACTCTGAATTCAAAACCTGCGGAGGGTCGTTTGGGAACCTTGTGGCACGTAGTGCACCAGGTCTCTGAAAAGTGTTGATAGTCCTGCACGAAACCTTCACCACTATAATCAAATTTCTTGTGCCGGTGTCGGTCTGTCAGTTTCCTGGGAACTGATCTGTTTGACCCTCATACGTCGAATCCACGGGAGAGTCGACTATATATATATATATATATATATATATATATATATATATATATATATATATATATATATAATTAAGTTACTAAGAACTTGGTAAACCGAATGGGTAATTCCAAGGAGGATGAAATCCTGAGAGCTCAATGTGAATCCAGAGCTAATATTTAATGAAAAAACAGACCACTTTAAGGTACCATTACAATAATTTATTTCACCAAAATCCTTTTTAAAGGACTCCGGATCATCAGGTAACACTTCCAACAACGAAATGAACGGAAAAATGGGATTCTCAAATATAAAGGCTTTAGTTCGACATTACAACCACCTGAACGTCCGAAACGTTGTGATAAATATGGCGACAAAGATGAGGACAATAGTCCGAATAATTTAAATAGTGTATTATTATTATTATTATTATTATTACTGGTAGTAATAGTAGTAGTAGTTTTAATAGTAATAGTAGTAGTAGTTTTAGTAGTAGTAGTAATTAAAGAATATCATGGGATGTAAGTTTTTGAAATACTTTAATTAATAATAATTTTACTTTGTCTTTTGACATAGAGCTCTCTCTCTGGATCTATATCCTCCTGGAAATTCCATACGGATTACCATATTGTATTATTAATTATATATATATATATATATATATATATATATATATATATATATATATATATATATATATATATATATATAAGACTAATTAGGTTTTCCATTATTATAATATTGTCACTATATTAACTGTTGTTAGCAGAGAAAATTTAATATATGAAAATGTAGCTGGGCTATTGAATAAAAATATTCAGTCCAGGATATGAGGAGCGTTGATATTACGAAACAGTCAACCAGAGTTAAATATTATGAACTCTTATTGTTGAACTCTCTCTCTCTCTTTCTTTCTTTCTCTCTCTCTCTCTCTTTCTTTCTTTCTCTCTCTCTTTCTCTCGCCGCTTATAAGCTGCCCTCTCATCATCACTTCAGACTTGTAGCTGACATCCCTGTGGACCAAACGCCAGATAATGATCTCTGCCTCTTTGAGTTGTTGGCAAAAGGCTGATCGATTATCTCGAGCTGCAGGATGAATTCGGCCGTCCTTAGGATTCTTAACCATTGATAATATTTCTTTCTCTTGGCCACGGATGAAAAGTCCGCGCTAGGGGCCGCCAACACGTTTCTGACCTTTGACCCAATGGACCTGGCCATACCCGAATCGCTGTGGTTGGCATCTAATGCCACAAGCACGATATATCTTTTAATATCCTGTGCCATATTGTATGCTACTATGTAATTGCACTCGATACATCTGAAAGTGAAGTAGCATGCTGCATAACATCACATTAGGTCGCCGAATGTGAGTCTTTAAGTACTTAATGCACAATCTATATTTAACTATAGATACATCGCGTTCCAATATTATATGCAAAGCAATAAAATGATAATTGCAAAATTAATGGTCCTAGATTCATCAAATGTCGGTCATATGTTGGTCTTAGGTCTGTACTGGATATTAAAACAATCTACGACCGTATTAAAATATAGAATGACAATTATTATTTAAACGGTTCCATTTTATATGCAATTATGACAAACGAATCAATCTGAAGTGATATGAAGATAATGAAAGAATATCAATATCTAAATACGACAATGATTTATTCAAAGCAATGGCATACGAATCAATGTGTTATATGCTTGACCAAATAACACAGAAGTAGAATAATTATTTATGGTAAATATTGGTTTTGTTACCCGTGCGTAGTAATTTTCTGCAAGGAAAGTCTGTAAAAGAAGTAAATAGGCCAAATTTTCTTATTACGCCGGCGTAGGTATCCCGCATTAAATTGAGATTCATGATGACAGTCATGGGAAACGAATGACCAACAAGTAGTCCGATTTTTTCTTGTCGCTAACTCCAAAACGGTAAGGTTTCTTTAAAATTTAATTGTTCATTCGAGTTCAGCATGTACAATTGAACGGAATTATGACGATTTTGGAAAAATGTTAGGGGATATTAGCGCACGGGTAAGAAAACCAATATTTACCTTATTTATTGATATAATTTCCATTTATTCTGATGACTTCAAATCGCCTAATGCCCACACGATGTTAAATTTAATAACTATGTGTTAATAGCTAGGTTTCATAGTTTTACAGATGAAATTGCTAAATGAAACCGTAAGTTCTATGCTAATATTTTCTTCTCTCGCCTTTCTTACTTAGCAAAATTTCTTCCGACTTATTGTTTTCCCGTCAACTACAATCTTAAAAATATAATTCAGCGTAAATCGTCACATTCTGTCTCGTTGAATACGGGTCATTTTATTGTCCTTTCTACTCAGTAACGTTTGTTTCGCTCTCAGTAATCCCTTAAGTCTTGGTAACCTTATCGCCTTGCTTGGGGTAAAGTGAAACATCACAAACTGATCCTAGAGAACTATGTTCTAATAAAGACATAATCTTTACAACGGGAAAACTTAAAAGAAAGTGAATAAAATTATCACCGTCAGTAATGCTGAAATAGGAACCACGAAGTTTTAAAAATCAGCAAAAATTTATATAGTGAATCTTTCTGGTACAATAAATATATATCTTACTTTTGTTGTATCTATTCTACAGTTTAAAAGCTTGAGGAAACCCATGGTAATTTTTTTAAATTGACGCCAAAAGTATTTATTTCATACTTTAAATAAGAGATAAGTATTTTAAATGGTTAAAAAAATCTGAGACATAATTTCTTATTAGAAATGTTATTATAACAAAAAGAAAAAAATATTTTATGATTAAATTTTGCGCTCGTCAAAATATCCTCTTTTAGCCTAGATTACTACAGCACAATTTTTTGACATTCGTTGCAAAAGTTTCTCAGAATAATAAGTTTGTTAACTGATTCCATTCTTTTTTAAATGATTCTAAGAGCACTTTTTCATTTATTTTTTTTTCACTATTTTTTTTTTTTTTTTTTTTACAATATTCTTTTAAATTTCCCTCTGACAATTATAACACCTTCTAAAGCTTGGAATGTATTTTCCACCTTGGTTTATGAAATAACCAATGTTTCATTTCTACTTATGGTATTGACTTCTTGAATGTTATGACATATGTATTGGTGTTTCTTATTTGATCTTTTTATGTTTATTCTTTGTACATCTATTACATTTTTTTTTAAATTCACTTTGTATTTCTGCTTTGGTGCAGAGATTCATTTCTTTATTTTGCACCACTCCTTTGGAGGTGTTTAAGAAATCATGTGGATACAAAATTATCTTTATAATGATGGAACTTTTTCATTTTTAGAAGTATTTCAGCATGATTCTTGTGACGTCTATAAGGATAGATCTGGTTTTTTTTTTAGATTATTGACTGATGTGGGACTTATTATGGATGAAATGGCCTTCTGAATTATAAAGGGAAATAATTTGGTCAGTATAGTCTCTTTAGATTTCAGTACTACAAATTTAGGGGAAGTATCCTTCTGCTAGATCAGGTTCTGAGTCAGATTCAGAATAGGGATGTTTTGCTTGGGCTTTTATCCGATGAATTCTGAATGTGGCTTCAAACTTTTCAACTGTAGTGTCTATAAGTCTATCGATAGCTATCTTGTTACTGTTGAAATAGCTAGATGTAGCCATAAGCTCTATTCTAACATTTTCTATCTCACACTTATCGACTATGCAAAACTTTTTTCCGATTTCTTGCTTTCCTATCAACTAAGATCTTCAAAAAACGAAACGCAGTATCAATCACCAACTTCTGTCTTTCTAGAACTTGGTCTTTTATCGTCCATTCTTTTCAGTGGCATCTTGAGTCTTAATGATGTTATCACATCGCATGGGGTGAAATGATCAACAGTATCTATCTATCTAGCTTGCTAGCTTCTTTCTTTTATTAATGTTAACTATGCACAAGGCGTAAGAACCACTCAATGCAGAGGGTTATTATGCTGTGTTGTATGAGCGTAAGAAAAGGCAACTGGTAGAATTCATGAGGTTAGAAAGAGGTCAAGATTGTAGTGATCAGTCAGTGGTTTGTTTCACAAAGCATCACTCGTTAGGAATATCTATCTATCTATCTTTATTCATTATCTATCTCTCTCTCTCTCTCTCTATATATATATATATATATATATATATATATATATATATATATATCTATTACAATCTGTTATTATCTATCTATTATCTATCTATCTATCTATCTATCTATCTATCACAGTCTGTTCGTATCTATCTATTTCAGTCTATTCACTATCTATCTATCTATCTATCTATCTATCTATCTATCTATCTATCTATCTATATATATATATATATATATATATATATATATATATATATATATATATATATATATATATATATATCACAGTGTGTTACTTATCTATCTATCTATCTATCACAGTCTGTTGCTTATCTATCTATCTCAGTTTGTTCATTTTCTATCTATCTATCTATATATCTATCTATCTATCTATTTCAGTCTCTTCACTACCTATCTATCTATCTATCTCTCTCTCTCTCTATATATATATATATATATATATATATGTGTGTGTGTGTATATATATATATATATATATATATATATATATATATATATATATATATATATCACAGTGTGTTACTTATCTATCTATCTATCTATTCATCTATCTTTTCTATCTATCTATATATTTCAAATTTTGAATATTTGTGGATGTTTATCTTAATGAAATCATGTTTTGTTGATTTATTTAATTCATGTATTCGTGAATTGTTGTAAGTAAATTTCTGTCCAATTGTATAAATTATAATTGTTTTGCTTCTCCTTGTACCTTACCATTGGAAAATACCTGTTGTACTAATATTTTGACTAATATATTTAATCTTTACCTTAGATATTTACTTATTTTTTTAATTCATTATTTTCATTAATTTGATAAAATTAAATATAAAATAGTTCCCTTAAAACTTATTATTATTTATCACTAATATTTAATCTTTTCTATTTGTCTTTTCAGGTAAGTACTGGCTTCTTCACTTCCTGTTAAACGTCACTTCCGGTAAGATGTTCTGATTTCATTTTTTAGACTTTTGTTCATCCAATGCAAATCCCAAAGCTAAACTGAAGGTAGGGGTCTTACTTAATGAGTTTCTTTTTTAATAGTAGATGTCTGTTCCATGGAGCAGTGATTCTCGGAAAGTAGCTGTCTGAATGGAACTTACTTTGAAACTATGGAATACAATGAGAATGAGTTTGGTTCGATCCTGTTTACGTACATAGAGGCACCTAGATTTAAAGTTTTGAACTTGTGGAACTAATGAATGTAGATCATCAGAAAATTTGCCATGAAAATATCGATAGAGTAACGAGAAGCTCGCAAAAGTTCGTCTGTAAGAAAGGTATTGCAGAGTGGAAAATAATTAATCACCCACAACGCCGCGTAGACGCATTTGAACAATTTATTGTATCTATCAATAAAAATAAATTAATAGATAACCTCAATGAAAATGAATGGAATTATCGCTTCTTTGTTGGAACCATTCATTTTTAAATCATTTAATTTACATTTAAGTATTTTCTGATTGCATATTATGCTCTCTGGAAGCGGTCTTACACACTGACTTTTTTGTATGCATATGCCAGCATTAATACAAATTATTTCCATTAAACAAGACAAGTCAAATAACTGTTTTACGAACAGAGAAAAATGAGCTGTCAGAAATGCTCTTATTTCTTTAAAGATTTCTGTATAAAAAACAAGACATCTATTTTACAAATCTCTTTATGCTAAGTTATATTGTATCCCCTACCATAGAAATAGATACACAATGTTAACTATGAGATAATTATGTGAATAATTTTCTAATGTTTATAATATTAATATTAATAAAAATAAATTCAGAAAATTTACTATTTTTTCATGTGTTCAAATAATTCGGTAGTTTTTACAAATCTAATTAAACAGATTACAAAATTAATTTTTTAATTACATTACAGAATCTAATTTAACAGATTATTCTGACGTATTTAGATAATTCCATTCTTTTTTAGGCTTATTTGATTAATTTATAGTAAAATGTAATATCAAATGACAACAATGCTTATTATTACGAACGCTGTAGGTTTTCTGACTTACGACTGAATTTTGCCATTCAGTCCATGATTATATCAACTCGATGAATAAAAAAGAATATATTGATAGAAATATTGCTTGATAGAAATACTGCTTATATATCTTCCTTTTTTAATTTGAATCAAAAAACGCAGTTTTATTTTGATTTGTTATGCAAATTAAATGCAACTGATTATGTTGTAAACGCCATTTGTTCCTAATATATATTTACGTCCGACATTATTAACTGGCATTATTTCTTCTCCTCCATCTTATTTAGTAAGTCTCTCGAATGTGCAAGCCGGTAGACATAATTTATACTGTTTATGAAAACCAAGGTACCACTCAAAGCTTATATTGAATTTGTTTTCTTTTTTTTCTTTTCTTCTTTTAATTTTTTCCTTTCTCTTCCTCTTCTTTTTGTTTGGGCAAATTGACACTATTTATTACAAACTTCGAAGGTCCGAAGAGATGTATATTTGAATATATTCATGAAATAAATTATAACCGAATAGACTTTTAAGGACCGTCTGTATATATATATATATATATATATGTGTGTGTGTGTGTGTGTGTGTGTGTATGTGCTTTCAAAAGACGTCCATTTGAATGTGGAGTACTATAGGCATACAACACACGGCTTAATAAGTCAAAATGGGGCGTCCTTTTCTGATACGAAGGTCCACTATAACAACGTTACTTCAATGATGTTTTTATTTATTAGTAGTGTATATCTTTTCACTTTAACCATTATTTTACAAGCATTTCTTTATATTAAAATTTTGTCACAAAATTTGTGTGTAAAAATATAGAAATTTTGTTCATGTCTTACGGTTCTCAAATATCTGAACTTTATCGTATGTGGTCCTTACATTAATCAAATTTGGACACCTCATATATATATATGTATATATATGTCTGTGTGTGCATATATCAGTGGCAAAGAGTGATTTGCGTATTTTTTCGTCATGTACACTTTGACTGTCAACAACTATGCAAGCTACGTGCTACATCAACGACTGCATAAGAAGTAGCAAGTAGCTAGTAACGAGTTGTTGACAGACGAAAAGGGAATAAATATTAGAGTAAGCCGTATATGACAAAACAATCTCGACTGTATACCTTGGATCCAAGTCACCCTTCAGGACTGATATATATATATATATATATATATATATATATATATATATATATATATATTATTTTTAAAATCAATACAAAACAGAGCAATATATTAATATTATTTTTATTATAAGAGATTATTATAAAAAATAATTTTATAAAGATTATTATAAAAACATGTTTACACAAAAGCTTTTAAATCGCCTGGTAATACAACCATAGTACTGAAACATGAAAGACTTTTATATAGAGATTTCAAAATGTTTTAATATAATCTCTTATATATATATATATATATATATATATATATATATATATATATATATATATATATATATATATATATATTTTTTTAAAAGTGGTCAATACAAAACAGAGCAATATATTAATATTATTTTTATTATAAGAGATTATTTAAAAAAATAATTTTATAAGAGATTATTATAAAAACATGTCGAAATCGCTACACAAAAGCTTTTATCTTGCAATCGCCTGAAGTAATACAACCATAGTACTGAAACATGAAAGCTTTTATATAGAGATTTCAAAATGTTTTAATATAACTTATTATATATATATATATATATATATATATATATATATATATATATATATATATATATATATCATATCCAAGTATAGGATTGGTGTATACGGAATAAATTCTAATAACCAAAAAATACTATTCTTTAAAGAGTGCTCAATACAAAGTAGAGCAAATATAATTATTTATTTGAAAGTTATAACATAAACATGCTTCTAAAATCACTACAACAATAGCCATTTTGTTTCAACACTTCTGGTGTCTTATCAAGTGATGAAGTTGAATGTAGGACCATCTATTGATAAGACACCAGTGATTTTATAACATTAATGTTATAATTTTCGAACACACACACATATATATATATATATATATATATATAAGGTACATTTCGGCAGTAATGACTGATGATAATTACTTCAAAAGCAATGCGGATAAGGTTGTTTTGATCTATTGATGTAAGGTGAAATAATTTAGCATCACGTGAATTTATAAAAGTTGAGGTTCTGCAATGTATTTTCTTAAATTCTCACCATCATTGATATTTTCTGATAAAAATATATATGCCTAACACCTGCAATGTTGAAAATTTCAATTTTCCTGAACTTTCCCTTTTTCACCGTAAGACATCGCAGATTATTTAAAATGTTGAACCATTTATTTTAAGGCACGTCACGTTATCTAAAAATGACGATTGTCAGGTTTCAACGTAACACGAAGTTGCCCTTAGGAAATATGAATATAAAATTTAATAACGACTGCTTGTTATTAAAAGGAAAATAGTAAAACATTACAATCATTACTGACAAATGTTTCTTCTTCTGTCATGTCCATCATGGCGCCCCGAATTTTTTATCTTTTGTGGCTTTTAATAAATTTTGGCAAGTATTTTCACTATCTCTTCTAATTCCTGTTCATTCAACCATTTATAAAAGCTCTCTAGGTAGGTCAGGCACTGCTTTCCACTGTCCTACTGGCCTCCAATATGTACTGTCAGTGTCAAATTTTCTAAGCCTTCTTTCCTCATTATCTGCCCAGCTGTCTCTTTCTGATGTTAAGTATGTGTCCCTTTTATTTCCATTTCCTCTAAAAATTCGTCATTGCTCACATGTTCAGCCCATTTTATTCTTATCATCCTTCTGTAGAGCCACATTTCTGTTGATTCTAGCCCATTCTTCATCTATGATGAGATTGCCTAGCATTCATTGCCATATAGATCTATCAATATTAAACAACAGTGAAGTACCCTTTTCTTATTTTCTAACGAGATTTTCCTGTTTCTTTGTTCTTTACTTAGCTTTTGGAAGGCATCTTTCGCTATCTCAACACGTCTACGGATTTCGGTGTCACACTTTCCGCCTTTTGATTTCCTAGATATGGATGTCAGTTATAAGTTATCTCCTGTTTATTTCCCTCGCCAACTTATTCACTGCCTGCTTAAGGTTTATTGAACTCTCACTCTTTGGGTCTTGTCACTGGATCTAACTAACGCCTTTATCCACTGTCTCATGTGTCCTTGACATCCATTAGACATGTCACGTGGAACTAGAGCAGTCTACCCCTGACAGCGAAATAAAGGGTTCAGTTCGACATTCCAACCAACTGAAGAAGGTCAGAGCGTACAACGGCTGAAACGCTGTGATAAATATGGCAAAAAAGATGAGGACAATAGTCCGAATAATGTAAATAGTGTACATAATACCTCATCTCAGAAATATAGACAGATACTGAAAGGCCGAAACGTTGTAATAAATATGGCGACAAAGTTGAGGACAATACTCCGAATAATGTAAATAATGTACATAATACCTCATCTCAGAAATATAGACAGATACTGAAAGGCCGAAACGTTGTAATAAATATGGCGACAAAGATGAGGACAATACTCCGAATAATGTAAATAGTGTACATAATACCTCATCTCAGAAATATAGACAGATACTGAAAGGCCGAAACGTTGTAATAAATATGGCGACAAAGATGAGGACAATATTCCGAATAATGTAAATAGTGTAAATAATACTTCATCTCAGACATATAGACAGATATTAAAAGGCCGAAACGTTAAGTATAAGTGTCCTTTTCATTTCCTTTGCCTCTACAAATTCGTCATTGCTCACATGTTCAGTCCATTTTATTCTTATCATCCTTCTGTAGAGCCACATTTCTTTTGATTCAAGTCTCTTTTTTATTTGTGATAAGATTGTCTAGCATTCATTGCCATATAGGTCTACCAATACTAAATAACTGTTAAGTATCATTTTCTTTTTTTTCTAAGGAGATTTTCCTGTTTCTTTATTCTTTACTTAGCTTTTGGAAGGCATATTTCGCCTACGGATTTCGGTATTACACTTTCTGCCTTTTGTTAAAATATTTCCTAGATATCTAAATTTGTGTGCTTGTTCAATTTAGGCTTCTCCAACCTGTAATTTGCATGTGGGATTGTTTTTAGTTTTTTTTTTTTTTTTTTTTTTTTTTTTTTTTTTTTTGGAGGCGGGGTGCTTTTTTTTCTGGCAACCATGCATTGTGTCTTAAATATATGCAAATGGGGTGAAGGCTAACGGCCTAGTATTTGTGACCATTACAATTGAGTAAATTTTGTTCCTCACTCGGTTTAGTAAATGCTTTTAAAAGTTTGCGTGAAAGGCCAAATCACGTGCCTCGAGCCGTCACGATCGACCTTTCAGTCTCAAGGCAACACCCGACTGTTGCGAATTCTGAACACGAATTCCGAACTAACGCAAATCGCACAAAATGGCGCACGTTTACGACTCGGCGAAGACCACAAACCGAACTGAGGAACTATGTCTTATCCTCGGCTTAAGTTCTTTATATAGACAGTAGCGGGATGCCAACGAATACCTGTCGGCGATTTCAGCCTCCCACCGCAAGAAACGCGCGTTAATAGGCGCTTGTTTTTCTTGTATCGTAAATAAAAAAGGAGATGCAAGGAGACTCGGGATAGGTTAATGGTTCTTTCTTTTATTTTATGCGCCATGTCTCTCCACCTCCTCCTATCCCTTGCAGCTCTCAACAAGTTCCTTCCCTCTGCTACGTCCCCGGGACCACGTTCTGTCATCCACTTGCTTAAGCCCGCCAAGAATGTCATGCATTGTTTTCCCTTGTCTCTCTTTCCCTCTATTCGACCGGTGAGTATCAGATTCTCCAGGGCCTCCTTCCGCATTATGTGTCCCAGAAACTTCAGCTGCCTCTTCCTGATGTTAAGTATAAGCCTCCTCCTTTAACAAGTTTATCTACGAAATTATCAGTACTGAATTATGTTCTTACTTAGCGCTCTGTTTTTGTATACTTGTGCACAAATTAAGCTATGCTTAGTAAATAGAAAAATAGACAAATTTAACGGGATAGTTTGAACAAAAATGATCTTTTTTGTAAGTTATCATTCAGTCAGTCATGTATCATGCGTGATACACGCTTAGGCGATCATGTATCTTTCGATACTTGACTGACGAGGCAGATTTCTTTTCCGTAGTAGGTTGGTATTTCTTTCTGCAGTAGACCAGTCACCCTCCAAGGCTATAGAAACCTGTCTGCCATGCTATTTTCCGATAGCTGGCTGGGGTGGGTGGCGAACAAGAGGATTCATACCTTTCCCAAAGAGTATTAAAACCTTCAATTATTCTTTTAGAGGAAATTATCTTAAATTTGAGCATCGTTCTTTGAATATTTCTTGCTTCTCTCACTCTAAACTGCTTCTTTTTTTCCACTATATATATATATATATATATATCAACGCTCTATCCGTTCTAGGTAAGACGTTGAACTACATCCGCGTCCTGGGTAAGACGTTAAACTACGTCCGGCAGCAATTCCTCTGATCAGGAGGTTTTGTGGAACCACCTTTTAATTGCTGGTGTTAGGGATCAGTCAGTTATGTGCCATGCGTGATACACGCTTAGGCGATCATGTATCTTTTGATACATGACTGACGATGCAGATTTTTCCCCCATAGGTTGCCATTACTTTCTGCGGTAGACCAGTAGCAATCCAAGGCTATAGAAACCGGTCAGTTCTGCTATTTACCCATAGCTGAAGGGAAAAAGAAGAAGAGGATTTATACCTTTCCCGAGGGTAATAGCACGTAAGTGAATGCAATGGATTCAACTGGAATTCGAACTCGGCTCTCTGATTCCTCAATCCAAGCCGCTATCCATTACTCTACCGAGCCTCCGCAGACATACCGATCTCCTTTCGCCCTCTCTCATTTTTTTTTATATTCGTCTGCACTGCTTTCTTATTCCTTCCTCTTTCTCTTTTTTTCACTCCCTCCTTCTCCTCTCTCTCTATACTTATATTTACTTCCATTTTTGTACCACCTTCACTTCTATATTGTCTACTTTACTCTCTCTTTCTCTCTTCTTTTTTGTCTTTACATCTCCCCTACTAATGTCGTTTTTCGTACTATATTCTATTCTCATTTACACATTCTTTTTTTCTTCTTTTTCTTCTTTTTCTTCTTCTTCTTCTTCTTCTTTAAATGGTTAATAAGCGGTAAAAATACAAATCAATCATCAATCTTCTTTTTTTTTGTTCTTTTTCTTCTTCTTCTTCTTTTCCTTCTTCTCTTCTATTTCTACCAACACTTCACTGCTATTTTATTTTTTTCAATACCTTTCCTTCTTTTTCCTATACTTCTCGTTTTTCTTCTTTCCTCAATTCTTCTCTTTAGGTTTTCCATCTTTTCTCTTTCTCTTCTTCTTCTCGATAATCTTCTTTCCCTCGTCTTCTTCTACCTGGTCTTCGTCTTCTTTTAGTTTACTCACATCTTTTCTTAGTTTCCCCTTTTCTTCTTTATCATCTTATTCTCATACGTCTTCATCTCCTCCTCGACTTTCATCACTTCTTCTTCTTCTTCTTCTTCTTCTTCTTCTTCTTCTTCTTCTTCTTCTACCAATGGATTTCTTCCTTGTCTTTTTCTTTTCGTCACCCTCTTCCTTATAATCATCATCATCCTAATCAAACAGGCATTCTGATTCTTTTCCATGATCGTACCCTCCCTCCTACCATCCTTCTTCCTCATCCTCTTCTTCTACTTTTTCTTCTTTCCCTTTTTCTTTATAATGTTTCTTTTTTTTTTTTACTTCTTCTTCCTCTCCGTTTACCTTCCTTCTCCTCTTCTTCTCACTGTTCTTCCTCTTCCATTTGATGTTGGGCCAAAAGCCAACGTAATTAAAATTAACTCGAGACGACGACAACGCTATTATCTTTTTCGCGTCGTCCTTCACTTAATTTTTCTTTTGTGTGTGTGCGCGCACGCGCACGTGTGTGTGTGTGTGTGTGTGTGTGTGTGTGTGTGTGTGTGTGTGTGTGTGTGTGTGTGTGTGTTTTCTATTTCTTAACGTCCTTTCCTTTTTACCTTCAATGCGACTGAATCTAATCTTGGCTAATTTCAACCTTGTGGCTTGGCCGGCAAATGATTCCCAGGCGAAGACGATGTCAATTAGTGCATTCCAATGGCGGCAAATGCAACACGAAAATCACGTTTGGATGAAAATAGTTTGATTTAACGATAAGCAGTCACTTCAATTTTCCGATGTTGTTCAATATTAAGTTATCACTTATGCGTATTTCCAATCATTGACATGCACAGTAATTTGCTATACACACGACTCTGATTATATATATATATATATATATATATATATATATATATATATATATATATATATATATATATATATATATATATTGATAATATTAGTGGTCAATATACATTTATATATATATATATATGTAATATAAGTGTACACACACACACACACACACACACATATATATATATATTGATAATATTAGTGGTCAATATACATATATATATAAAATATAAATGTATATATATATATATATATACACAGAAACACACATACACACACACACACACACACACAAAAATATATATATATATATATATATATATATATATATATAAAGAAAGAACAGTAAGATATAAAATCTGGTGTTCTTATAGATATTTTTATTTTACAAAATAGTGCTCAATGTAAATTTTAGAGCATTAATATTATAAATTAATTGATTTAAATATGTTTTTTTTTCGCTACACAGTTTGGAACTGTGTAGAAAAAAAAACCATATTTTACATCAATTATTTTATATATATATATATATATATATATATATATATATATATATATATATATATATATATATAAATTTCCAAGAGGATAGAATAAAGGTAGAACTCAATGTCCAGGACAGAGTAAGAATATAATATAAAAGGCTCAAACGTTTAATTGACGATTGCGTCTAGCATGAAACAGCCTGTTGCCTCTGAGTGTTGACTTCAATGTCCACTTTTAAATCTATATTTACACACGCTCTATCTCTGATATTTAGCACTTTATCCCATAAATATATCACACCTTAAGACTATATTTCTTCATATATATATATATATATATATATATATATATATATATATATATATATATATATATATAAAATAATATTTGCTCTACTCTGCATTGAGTATTCTTTAATAATAGTTTTTTTTTTTTTGATTATTGAAATTTATTCCGGATACACCAGTTCTATACCTGGATATATATATATATATATATATATATATATATATAATTTATTATATTATTATTAATAATAATAATAATTAAATAATATCATGGGATTTTAAGGGTTTGAAATACTTTAGTTAATAATAATTAATGATGATATATTTCCAGGCTTGGTATCGGGATTTCTTGGAGGTGATATTCCCTTCGTGAGGTGGAGAATTATGTATGTCGGATGATGTTAGGACTGTGTGGGCCTGACGCCTAGCATGAAGTGTGTTATCGCTGAATATCTTTTTCAATGTTTGGCAGAGTTTTAAATACTAGATTTTTTTTGTGAAGTCGTAGGTAATCTTGTGAGTACTGTAATCAAAATAAAAGAAAAAAAAACATGAGAATTCTGGAATTATTCGTTTTTGATTCCTAGGTTGGAAGAATATTTCTATTTTGTTTCAAAGCCTTAGTAATTGATTTTTTTATATTTTTAAGAGGGTAATTCCGATTAAAAATGTAACTGAATACTTGGCCAATGTTTTTTGGAATCCCCATTTTGAAAAACATCCGTTTTATGCGTTGACATTGGCTGTAAATTATTGATTCATTTTAGAGTGTTGGGGTAGCAGCTATTGAAATTTAGATAACACTGACCATCTGTGGGTTTGGTGTAAAATGTAGTGTACACTACCACAGATACATAGACGATATCTACTTTATATGAACCCACGATGGGACACCTCGAGGCGGTGTAATGGTTAGCAAGCTCGTATCTCTAGAACAATAACGACTGAGTAGGGAGTTCGATCTTCACTGGTGATCCCTCTTTTCGGCCTCGTGTTACAACTAAGCTACGCTTGGAAAATCGATATATGGACCCACGGTGAAAACAGTCTCTAAGATCTTAAAAACACCTCAAGAATTTTATAATGGTATATTCTACTAATTCCATTCCGTTCCTGGATGTACTGGTATGTTTAAATAATAACCACATCTCCACTTCTTTCTCAATAGGAATTAGCAACTTAAAACTAAAAAAAAAACATCAATCACTGAGGCTTCCAAATAAAATGCACTGTCGCTGCTGGGTGCTGAAATCGATATCCACTTTTATCTTTACATACGCTCTATAGCTGGTATTGATCTCTTTAACCCATAAATATAGCATACTGTCAAACTATATATATATATATATATATATATATATATATATATATATATATATATATATATATATATATATATATATATATAACTTAGGAAAAATACTGTTGAAAACATGGCGTTCAATCTTTTAGTGCTTTCAAAGAGGCAGGAATTATGAAATCAGACACGTTGAAGATGTGGTCTTAAAAAATTTGATCTTAAATTAGAAAAAAAATGGTAACTACAGAGGTGGTGATTTGAAAGCGAGGCTGGTTTCTTTTCATACACGAACCTGAAGGGGGTATAAAAAAAGAAATGATATTTAAATTATTTGTTCATTTTAAAATTTATTTTAGACAGTAAAAGTGA